CTTCCTTCCTTCCTTCCTTCCTTCCTTCCTTCCTTCCTTCCTTCCTTCCTTCCTTCCTTCCTTCCTTCCTTCCCTAAAATCCAGACTCCTGAGGAGCTAGAGGATGATTCTGATTTTGAACAGGAAGATTATGATGTTCGGAGCCGGACAAGTGTTCAGACTGAAGATGATCAGCTTATTGCTGGCCAAAGTGCAAGGGTGAGTTTACAGTCTAAGCAATACATTAATATGTCTTCAGATTTCACAGCAGGGTTTGTGCTTCTGCAAGCTGATTTGGAGAATATAAAGCTTAAGATGGCTACAGAGCTTGAAGTTTCATTTTGAGTTCCCAAGAACTGGTTTAATTTGTTTGACACTCAAGTGGTGTGGATTGGGGAAGTTTGTTGCAAAGGAGAAGGTCTTCTGATAGTTCATTTCCCCATGACCAAGACTTTTGCTGAGAATTTTTTTTAAAAAAATGTCTTTCAACACCTAATCTGATACATTTGTCGAATGTCCCAGGAATTCCAGCTTCATATTGAAAGTTTGAGGAAAAGACTAGGTTTCTAAATGATCGTATAATTATGGAGAAAACATGAGACGTGAAGGCTTTGGATAAAGCTCAGCATCATAGTGTCCTGATTCCCACATGCAGATTATTACAAGGCTTGCACTATATCAATGTCAAAATCTCCAGGCGTGATAGAAAGCTTTTCTTAATACTCTAAGAAAGACTGAAACACTTTCCTTGCATGTAGCTTCTCATGCTCATCAAAGCCACAACTGAATCGATACAATTGTTTGCTAAGAGACCTGAAATTAAAAAGTACCTGAGTGGAATTTTCAGTTGCCAAAATCACCACAACCTCCCAGAAATGGCACTGTGAGCCATTTCGTAATACCTACTTTTGATAGTAGTCCATAAATTTAAACCTCCCTTTTCTTCTGTCTTAACCAGCCAGGTGATATATTTGCTTGTAGGGTTGTTTAGGATGCTCCAGTAACCTGACAAACTGATTTTCCACCAGAGTTTTGTTGTGGCAGCAAGGCAAACAATGATTTTGAACCATTATCTCCTAAAGATGTATTTGAAGCAACTCAAGATTCAGTTCCTTCTGTGGTCCATCGTAAGGAGAAGATGGCTGGTTGCAGAAATCATTACACAAATTAAGACCAGTGTCAGGAATTAGCCAAGGCTGATTCCCTACCCACAGTCCCGTATCCAGTCCCTTGAGCCTCATGTCCCTCTCCTTATACTGCCCATTCACATAGTCTTCCAAACTATGAGAATGGTATGTGCAGTCCGCCTTCCCTTAAACTTTCAGAGAGGTGCAGATGTTATATAAGGGAAGGTGGACTCTATGTACCGTCTTGATAGTCTCTCTCTCTCTCTCTCTCTCTCTCTATATATATATATATATATCCCTTCCTGCAAATTGCTGAGTGCCAGGACCTGGATAGCTCCTAAATCTAGTGTACTGCATACAGTCACCTAAGTGCAAAGGTCCATGAGTTCAATTTCAATAGAGCATTCAAACCCCACAGAATAACATCTGGCTAGCCATGTCTGACGCTTCCCCATAAAGATAAAACTAGCAATGTCAAGTCTCCTGGTGGTCAGTGTAACTGACGATCTTCTAAAAGAGTAAGGAAAACATCAGTACCTTCTGTATAGCTTGAAATATTTATTTATTTATTTATCCAGTGCTTCTAGGTAAGATGACATAAACTAGGCTCTAAGCAAAAGATGAGGAGGACAAAAACAGAAATCCAGGGATGGAGGTTCCATTGAATGTCTGGAAGGACAAACACTATGCATCACTATGTAAATCTGAACAACTTTTATAATACCTGTATTGTTATAAACTTGATATTGCAACATAAAATAGATGAGACTGCCTTAGAAAGCAGAATGAAGAGATAACTGGTATGCAAAGTGAAATTTCAATAGAAGAGAATCTCTGTAGCTCAGGGTTGAACTGTGGAGTCCTTGGTGCTCTCTCAGCTTGGCTGTTTGCTTGCAGACGTTTCATGACCC